CCCCAAAACCCCAAAACCCCAAAACCCCAAAACCCCTTGTTGATGATCGAGAGAAATTTAATTGATAAATTTTAAAAGCCGATTTAAACGGGATAATAAGCATGATAATCATTAATTTATTTGGAATGATTTGAAGTAAGCAAGCCTTCAATAGTTTCAATAATGCAAAAGCTTTTCATGCAAAGAATTCCTTTCGACATTATATTACACATGAGTGTGCATCTTTTCATAAAGTATTTGTCCTATGAAAATTGATATCACAAAAATGAATCCTTAAGCAAAGATGAACATATTTATTATAGCTGTAGCTGGAGTTATGCCAGCTATAGCCCATCCTACTCCAAATATCACAGAACCCACTATTAATCTCAAATCATAAAATTTTATCTCCTCTTCAACTTAAAAGTCATACTCATTTATAGGGGAATCTCTTTTAAGTATAAACATAAAAGTCAAAAAGTTTAAGAACACTATAGTAACCAGGAAAACCATCAAACTAGGATCCCAGTCTTCTTCCCAAATCAAAAAATTCATTACTTTTGAAGGTCTGCACATTCCGCTTAGAGCTAAACCCAAGCCGAATAATGATCCATACAGATATTAATGCAAGATCAACACTTTTTAATTTTATCTTAGCTCTCCATTCAATATTTGGAATAGCAAGATAACTTATGTAAACAAAAAGCAAACGAAACTTGCATAGTGAATCATCTGGGAGATTTCTTTATTCCAAATAATTCCATTATTTAGCAACAGTAAAAAAGAGGACTTATGCAAAGCAAAATATCCTGCTGAAAGTATTGACAAGGCAGTGAACATTATTGATGATTTGGATAGCATAGGCACTCCACACATGTAATGTTTACTGATATCTCCTCTAGCAATGCTTGCTCCGTATCCAACTAGCAATCCTCCGATTATCCAACCCCATGTGTTGATCATATAGACTATATCATCAGGATCGAAAATAGTCAAGGTGTAATCATTTGGAAAAGTAATCTTCCTTCCAAATACTTATCTTATCAAAACTGGTATCATAATCAAGCCCGAAATAAAACTGATACTCATGAGTCTATGATTATAGTCAGTACTAAATTTATCCTGGTTCAATCGAAGAAATTGGTTTATGTTTTGACTTATATTAGTTTATCTTCCATAGTAAAGGAGATTTAATGATGTTGCTACTGAAATCAACGACCCTCCAAGCACACTCCAACCAAAATCATAATAGTTTCTATAATACATCTTGAGCTGTTTATTTAAAAATTATAATACTTAAAAGATTAATATTTGTGATTCTTACTATTAATAGTGTTTAAATATAGAACAAGGGGTTTTGGGGTTTTGGGGTTTT